CGCAAAATCTTCTCTGTGTCATCATGTGCGCATCAGACAACTAAATAAAACAAGGTGATATAACGACTGGAAAGCAGGCTCTTGAAAAAACTGTATCTTCAATGCTTCATTGAACAAGCAGTAGCAGTGGTGAGTCCCCTCTATTACCTTGTCTTGCGCCTCTCTCTCCTTCTGCAACTTCCTGTCGAAGATGCGGTCCGACTCCACCGCCCTCATCTTGGCCTGCTTGAGGAGGTTGCCGATGTACTTGGGCTGCCTCTTTTCCTTCTCGCGCGCCACCGTCGCTGCCGCAACCTTGGACTCGCGGCTGGCGGAAGAAGGGTGGACATGGGTAAGAGGGTGACTTTGAGTGCTTCGCGGTGGGTTGGGAGTGCGGCGCCAAACACCACAGCTGCAACAATCTTTCCGGTTTTGGTTGCGGTTGCGGTGCAATGCGAGCAGCACGTGAAGCCATGGCAGCACTCTGTGTTGTTGCGCGTTCAACACGCACGCACGAACTTACTCGGGGGTTGAAAGGACGATGGCCCAAGTAATACACACAGGGCCAAGATCATAAGAATTGGTAATGTTGCTGGCGACTGACTAGCGCGTTCAACTCTCGTCCCATGCCGTCGAGTTGCACCAAACTGCGGGTTCGGCTGCGTTGGTACAGCACAGAGCCGCGGAGTGTCCCAACACAATAGTACCCCAACATCCGTAGTGAGATCATAACACAAGGAGTAAATACAGGGACAATAACAGAGAAGAAGTGGTAATGTTGCCAAGAGCAGGGAAAAAGCGCTAAATAATGTTGCCGGCGACGACATTTGCTCACACCTCTCCTTCATGCCGTCGTACACGCGGTCGTAGTCGAACACGGACGGGTCGGCCTGCAGGGCGTCCTCGTACTCCTTCTTCGCCTGCTTCTCCTGCTTGGCCGATATCGCCGCCAGCCTCTTGTTCACCGCCGTCACGCCGCTGAGGTCTCCCTTGGATTCCTCCTCTTCATCGTCCGAGTTTGTGTCGAAGACCGACGTCGAGCCTGGCGGGCGTCGTCGCGGTGCCGGCTTGGACCCTATCGGGCGCCCCTTGCCTGCTGCTCCTGCTGCTGATGATGAGGCCTTCTTCAGGGAGGAAGCCGTCCCAATTAGGCCGAATTTGACCCCCGACTTCCGCATGATGAGACAGAGGGTATGCAGCGTAGATTATCTCCCAGCACGTGTCGCCAATATCTTCCTCTTGGTTGCACGTGCTATCAGCAAAGAAGTTGTGTTGTGTCCGTGTGTTGTGCGTGAGTGATCGTTGCGTCGTCGTTGATGTAGCGCGCGGGGCCGCACAGGCTAGAAACATCACCCCCCCTCTTATTCACACACTCCTGTTGTTTGTGCCCCTATATGACGCTCCTAGTCGGCAAGAAATAGCGCAGTGATGAACGGAAACGCACCTCACGTTTCACCTGTGCGCAAAAGTCAGTGCTACCTGTGAGACCTAAAATGAAAGAGGAGGAATTCGAGAGCGTGGAGGAGGAGGGCCTGTGCGATGACGTCCCGGACTCTGATTGGCTGCTGTCGGCGCCACGTGAGATAAAAGCATCAAGTACCTCTAGGTGTCAGTCACGTTCAGTCTCAGGAGAAGTTTTGGTGGAACAACTGCCGGGCTGCTGACAGCAGTGTTTGTCATCCCATGCATACTGCTGTGCATTGATGCATGTCAGTCAGTGATTGATGCACCAAGCGAGGCTATGTTTTTCCTTGTTTTCCGGCTGCAACCCTTGAGGTTGCCTTGACTTTTCTATCAAGTAATACGCATGTACAGCAGCGGTTGGTGCTGTTGGGCCTCGCTATGAGGCAGGCGGTACGACTGCTGCTACTGCTGCTACTGCTGCTGCTGCTAATCACTGCCGCTATCTTCTCCCAGTGCCGCTGACGCAAAACTAAAGGCCGCCGTATTGACGCGAGTGTTGCTGCACCGCAGCGGGAAGCGGCACGTGCAGTAGAGCATTCCTGCGCCGTTTGTTGAAACCAAGCAGGTCTCGAGACTGTAAGAGCAGCAAGCACAGACACTGCTGTAAAACGTAAAACATGATCCCTCCGCCGGCTTTTTTTTTTTTCAACGCCGCCGTCGGAAGCCCTTTGGTGCACTCGCTCACCGCTGTATTGGACTGCTATTGCTGCAACGTCCAAGTACAGCAGGATTGGCAATCTCCATGTCGGCATATCCGTACGAGGCGGAGAGAGGGCACCCCCGACTAGGCCGCTCTGCGACCAAGGAGTTGCGGCAAGAGCCCGATTCGCGGCAGCCGGATGTCTCCAAAATCAACATTTGTCGATGTTGGCGCAAGGTTCCTTGCGGAGCAGTGTCTTAAATCTCTCTGGGTACTCTGATATCGACGGATGTCTCCAAAATCAAAATTTGTCGATGTTGGCACAAGCTTGGTTGCGGAGCAACGTCTAAATCTCGCTGGGTGCTGCTGATATCACTCCGCCTCGTAAGGCGCCACCAAGGCGACCATACCCTTGTCGCACGATCCAGTGCATGCCAACGCACCACTCATCAACCAGTGGTTCTTGGGTTAGACTTGAAGTACAGGGTTCAACCAAATGCTATCAAAAGCGTAAAAGGGAGATTGCTGTTCATCAACCGTTGGTCTTCGACGAAGTATGTACAGCAGTCAACCCCGCTTCAAGAACAACCATTTTTTTTTTTCAAGTTTGGAAGCGTCCTTAAGATTCCGGGGGTGATAAACTTGCCATCCCCGGGGTCAACGGAGGCGTAACAACCGGCAAAAGGTGCGTATTGCTTCAGGGACACTAGCAGAAAACATCATGAACCTGACTATCACAACGTGGTGTGGTGGTCGAAAGCTGCACGTACTTATTTACCACGTCGTTCGCTGTTTGAACCTTACGTCGTAACACTCCACGCTCACACAACACTTCGAACAGTGGGTGAAGTGCTGCAGGACGAGCTATCAAATTGCAACAGCAGGGCGCTGGTGTGTTGTTGTTGTTGTGTTTATTGGCTTTATCAAACACACTTGTTTTGGCGTTGTCCCCACGTTGAAAACGTTGCCAAGATGCATATCGTCACCACCCAAAAAAAAAAAAAAAACGTCGTTCGTTGCAACTCTGACACCATACACCTTTTTGGACAAGGAAGGAGCAAAGCTATATATGGAACGAAACTACAACTGTGGCGAAGGTAGACAACGCCAGAAGAAAAATACAACAAATATACCGGGAAAAGTTACGAGCCCATCGCACCTGCCCGAAGGTCAAAAGCAGGCAGAACACACACAAAAAAAAAAGAACAGGTCCAAGCTACGCATTTTTGTTCTTCACGCAGTAGCGGCAGCAGCAGCAGCAGCAGCAGCACAAGCGGCGCAGCACCGCTTGCCGCGCGGTGTGGCGTGCTGCGTAGGTGTGCTCCAGCATTATGTTGGGGGACCCGCATGAAGAAATCGGTACCCCCCCCTCAGTATTGTGAATCAGCGGGCCACCCTGCTTCTGAGGTTTATTGTGTCGTTGAAGCGGGGAGTTGGAGTTGCCTTTAGCGGAGGGTTCTTGAAACGGGGACGACTGTACAGTCTCTTGAACAACGCCCCTTCGCATCCTTACTTTTGAGGCACCCTCCTCCCGTAGGACAGATAGGCTAGGAAAAACGTTTGTGAACCATCTTTGACAAAGTAGGAAGGAACGATTGGCCATTCGTGATGGGTCCAATTCTCCGTTCTCTCGAGGACGAGTGATCAATGGTCTAACCGCTAAGGCATGCAAAACATTAGTACACCTCGCCCCCCCCCCCCCTCCCCCCCGTAGGAAAGGTAGGCTAGGGACAAAAGCCACGTTTGGGAAAGTAGAAAGGAGCGATTACTCTTGTGGGAACAATGATCCGTCCTCTCGAGGACACGTGGCCAATAATGGCTATCCCGCTAAGGCGTGCAAAACGTAGCCCCCCCCCACCCCCCTAAGTATGCGCTACCAAAGACGCGTGACGCATGAATGAGTGGAGTGAGGGTAGCTTACAGAAACCTCACAGGTTGAGTGATGTAGGAGATCGCCGGACACATAGACATGTTGAGTTATTATTGCTGTATACTGAAACCCCAAGGGTTGAGTGAGGTTTGAGATTGCCAGACACATGGACGGGTTGAGCGGGGATAGCTGCATACTGAAACCCCACGGGTGGAGTGATGTTGGAGTGTCGGACACATAGACGCGTTGAGTGAGGATAGACACATACTGAAACCTCACACGTGATTTGCATTGGAGATTGCCGGACACATAGACGTGTTGAGTTATTATTGCTGTATACTGAAACCTCACAGATGCATTGGTTTATGAGTTCGCCAGACACATAGACGCGCTGAGTGGGGATAGTTACATACTGAACCTCACGAATTGAGTGATGTTGGATAGTGCCGGACACATAGACGCTTTGAGTGAGGAAAGACACATACCGGAACCTCACAGGTGATTTGTATTGGAGATTGCCGGACACCCAGACGCGTTGAGTGAAGATACCTGCATACTGTTGAACCCTCACAGATGGACTGGTTTTTGAGTTTGCCAGACACATAGACGCGATGCGTGGGGATAGCTACATACTGAAACCTCACGAGTTGAGTGATGTTGGATAGTGCCAGACACAAATACGCTTTGAGTGAGGAAAGGCACGCACTGAATCCTCACAGGTGATTTGTGTTGGAGATTGCCGGACACATAGACGTGTTGAGTGGGGATAGCTACATATTGAACCCTCACAGATGGACTGGTTTTTGAGTTTGCCAGACACATAGACGCGATGCGTGGGGATAGCTACATACTGAAACCTCACGAGTTGAGTGATGTTGGATAGTGCCAGACACAAATACGCTTTGAGTGAGGAAAGGCACGCACTGAATCCTCACAGGTGATTTGTGTTGGAGATTGCCGGACACATGGACGCCTTGAGTGAGGATAGCTGTATACTGAGAATCCACAGTAGATATAGTGAGGGGACAATTCGAGAATGCAGTACACATAGACCCGACCCCCAACCCGTACCTGAACCCCCCGTGAAAAACACAGGCCATGCGCTCCCCCCCCCCCTCTACCTCCCCCAGAGGATGAGGAGGGTACAGTCCAAAGTAAGCACAAGCTTACCTAAGGTTAATGCCTATTGGTA